TTTACACAGAGATCTGGCTTTTCTGTTTCGATAGCCAAGGCTTCAGCAATACAGATTAGTCGGGTACGTAGTGATTTCGGTAAATTACTCTTTGCCTTGTAGATGACTTTGAAGGCTATAGAGATAGGATGATCACTATCGACCAGATGTTCAATGATCGCGCTTCTTATTGCTCCACTTCCACCTCTTCGTAACCATGCAGGAAAGTGTTCTTGCACCCTCTTGGACAAAACTCGTGTCAATTCCTTTATGCAGCATTAAATTCTATGCTGTTAAATTTCACACAATATTACGCAACGTTTTTATTTTATTCGATTTGTCTACTAATCTTATAATTGCACACCCTTTTTCAAGTTCTATCCATCCTATGAATTATTCTATATATGACATTAATTTGCTTTGCCACTTGACATTTAACCACGATTATAATCACAAACATTTTAGTTTTAATTGCATTTCATATTATTATAATTATTTTATGCATTCACACCTATGTTTCAATTCCCTCACTGGATATATTTTCTGAAATGAGATGTATCAATAGAGAGAGATACACACATTTATTGTAAATATATTTTTCTTATTGATTTTTGTAAGATAATCGATCCGTATTATCTATAACAATAGCATGGATCAACATGAGCTTACTTTTAAGTTCTTAGAAGTTTTAAAAACTCTGTAATGTAGGTTTCTCTCTCTCTCTCTCTCTCTCTGTTTACTTACCTAAACTATATTGATTGGTATTTCTATTATTTAGTTAACTTATGAGAGATGCCAGAGTTTAAGTCTGTCTGTTCAGTTGAACAGATCCACTGAAGTTCATGATGGATCGTGTCAAGGTTTGTCAGTAATGATTAGATTACCATTCATCTTATTATTATTATTATTGTTTCCTTTAGTTCCTAGAGGAGGAACATAGGGCTTCAGCCACACGTCTCCATTGCGTTCAGTTCTCTGCCACGTCTGCCCACATGCTTTCATCTCCTCTTCTCAGCATGACATCCTCCTCCATGTCACCCTCACACTGAGGACCAACTCGTCACTTCCCATTTCGTCGGGTTCTACTCGAGCAGTGGCCTGGCATGTGATGTCACTCACTTGATGGTTTTTCTTCTCAGAGTATGACCAATCCAATCCACCTCTATTTATTCCTGCATATTTGTTGCACAATTGGTTCCTGCTGGGTTGGTTCGTTCATTGCCAGAGATCCGTGTTGCTGATCTTTTCTGGCCGACCATCTGATTTTGAGCGAAGACAGCTGTTGATGAAGGTCTGCAGTTTGTTCGAAGTGGCCTTCGTGACACGGTGCCTAGTGTCTTATCTGTATAGTAGCAATGACTTCAACATTGGATTTGAAAATCTGCATCTTATTTTTCATGCTGAGTGCTGCTTGCCTTGCTTTCCCTATCCTCCCCTTGATGATATGCTCATCAGTTCCGTCCGCCTGTAGTTGAAACGATGCTTCCCAGGTAGGTGAAGGAGGTTGCTTTTTTCATATTTCTCCCATTTATGCTGGCTGATTGTTGTCTGTTGTTGTTGCTGTGGCTGTCGCTGTTGGCCAGGAATCTTCATCACCACATCTGTTTCCTCAATGTTCAGCTGCAGTTCTATCTTGTTCTGCCAACTTGTTGCTTTTCATCACTTGCATATCTTCCAGTTTGTAGGAAATCAAACATATATATCATATCGGCGAAGTCCAGATCCTCCAAGTTTTTTGCATGGGTTCATTTTATACCCACTATTCATCTTAATGTTAACTTTTTCCAAAAGTTTTATTACATAAGAATGGTTCTAGTTACTATTAATATTTTCTCTTAAGCTTCCCAATTGAATTCTACGGCCTCAGCAGAACGTCTCCATTGTATTCTGCTACTTGTGATCTTTTTTTTTAGTTGGATTCAAAACTGCTCCACCAAAATTTCATTTCCTCTTTACACGTTTTCCCCATATAATTTCTCGGAGACAAGTCTATTTCGTCGTGGACTTCTAATTCAGGTTCTAGTATTGGTTTGTAGGGATCTGATTGCTTGGCTACAGAATTTCATCATGAGCTGAAATCGGTTAGAGAACTGTTGGAGAACCAACGGGGAGTCCTGGAGAGCGGTTTCGTCCTAGTTTGAGACTCTTCACAGTACGCACCTACCGGGTACGGCAGGTCGGCTGTGAGGACAAATACTCGCCACAGATGATATTCGCTAGTGCCAGTCTCGCCATATCGTGAATTGGCAGAAGCTTGAATTCATGGACTGGCTGGCCATTGGATCTGGTCCCAATGGCTTAATGGTTTACAAGCTCGCTGGTCTTGTACCCAGGAGGTTCAGGGTTCGGACCGTCGTAGTGGGTGCGTGCTGGTGAAGAGTCTCAAACTAAAACGACGAAACAACTATCCAGTACTCCCAAATAGTTTCCCAATGATCTTCTAACCGATGTCAGCTCATGATGAAATCCTGTAGACAATTTAGGTTCTATCAGATATGATAGAGAAGAATTGTAGCTCAGGTGGATGATTTTGATGTGGTTGTGTTCTCTGAGTTAGCTGGATAGTTAATTCGCGAAGCTTTCATCACCCTACTAGGTGATGATATCTTCAGTGCATACTTCAATTTGAATTGAAGTGAGCTTTTAGATTTCTCCACGAGTTTATTAATCATCTCTCCTGGCGACCTTGGACGCGATTGGTTGTTTTTTTGTGTTTTCACACCTTCTAGGTTACTTGTATTGCCACTCATTGTTTCTTTGACTTGAACTTTGACCCTTTGTGTCTGTGAGGTTTCTTTCTTATCGGTTCATAAATTTTGCCTATCTCGATGTGTCTATTGACTGATGATTCACTTGAATGCCAAGCCTCTAAAAATTCTCTAGCATTCTTGGTGTTTCCTCTTTCTAAAATTTGAACGTTGTCCCAATCGAATTGATGTCCGTGGTTGTCTGTATGTAGTGATATGGGGGAGTGGATATCATGTCTTTTGACAGCTAGCTTATGTTCGTGGATACGAAGACGAAGGGGACGTCCACTTTGGCTAATGTAGTGTTTTTCGCGGTTGATACAATCTATTTTGTAGATGATGTTGGTTTTATCTTCCTTCGCTGTTGAGTCTTTTGGTTGACATAGAATTGAGTGAAGTGACTTTGTTGGTTTGTGTACGACGTCAATTCCTAAAGGTTTGAAGAGTCTTGCTGTGGTTTCTGAGATGTCCTTTATATATGGTAAGGCGATTTTTCTTTGTGCTTTCCTTGGGGGCTTTTGGTTTGATAGGTTGACTTGGAGGTATATGTCTTTTGATGAAATTCCGTGGATATCCATTCTTTTGGAAGACGTCCATGAGGTAGTTTTCATCAACTTTCCTTGAGGTGGGAGTGTTGCAATGAGTCCTGGCTCTCTTGAATAGTGTTTGTATGCAATTCATCTTGTGTGATATTGGACTGTTGCTGTTGTAATTCAGTATTTGATCTGTGTGAGTTGATTTTCTATAGACTTGAGTTTCTAATTCCCCTGTGGTTGTTCGCTTGACTAAGACGTCCGAAAATGGGACTTGGTTTTCTAATTCCTCTTCTCTTGTGAATTTGATGTCGTTGAAGACGTTGTTTATCAGGTTGTGAGCTTTATCTAACTCGTTTCTTTTGATAATTACAAATGTGTCGTCTACGTAACGTTGTTGTGCTGCTATATTTTGACTAAACTAGCGTACACGTATATCTTAGTACTTCTTCGCGTTTATAATTGTGTCCTAACGTTGCGATTACTCGACATCCACAACGTAATTCAAAAGGCACTTGCGAAGGAATACGATAGTGTATTATTGCAGCAATCAAAATTCGAAAATCGAGCGACTACAAAAATATCAATTGTTAACATGCAGTCTTTAGGGTGATAAACAAATCAAAGTCCAATTACATAGTGAAAGTATACTGCGATGATGAGTAATAAAACGAGTCACTACAACGTATCCAAATCTTGGGTTTGATCTTTGGTAGAATTATGTTCTCGAGCCTTTGCATCACTGCTTCTGCAAATTCTCATCGACCACGCCGTAAGTGTTCCGTCCAGCTCACTCCTAAACCTCGCACGTACGACATGCTAACCGATGAGATTTGATGGTACTTCAGATATCCAGCAAGTCGATTGAACCTGGGAATTATTTTACCATAGAATACTAACAACCTAAGATGATTTCTCAGTATCAGACTGAAAAGAGGTAAATTCATTTGACCGTAAAAATTCTCAATACATGCTCTAAAAATTTAGATATTTCTCCCAATTAAAGTTAATTTTATTGAATTTTAGATTTTCCGGTCGATTAATTGATTGGACCGAAGTGCTTGGTCTCAGGTTGGCATTTCGGCGTTTGAAACTGTGGGCACTGGGTTCGGGCCTCGTTGGGAACATCATCAGTCACTGGGAAATGCAGGTACATCCAGTTGACCAGTCCCAAACAGGACGAAGTGCGCATCCTGGATTCCACTGCTATTCACCATCCCCCAATTAAAGTTAATTTTATTTAAAGTGAGATAAAACAAAACACTCGAAATGAAAAGATTTCTTTTTTTCTTCTGTTTTTTTCTTTGCTTCTTTTGAAAAAATCATTACAACAAAAATCAATAAAATCAAATAAGTGATCAAAATAAACAACTGATTACACCCTCCAGTGTATATGTGTATGTGTGTGATAAACACTTGTAGGAACGAAATTTGCCCATGAAAATGTTCAATAAATAAGCACGATACTACTAAATTCTATTCTTAAATTTCATCCAAAAAGTCTCTTATTTCTTTTACTACGAATATTCCTCAATATTTATGAATGAAAAACTGGAGTCACTGCGTTTCGCAAGATAGAATGGAAATTATAAAGTGATCTACATTACAATATTTTCTTTTCCAACCAAAAAATTAAGTATTTCAAAAATACGCATGTTCGTTAAATCAAAAAACACTATTATTTTGCAGAAAAAAACTTTCATTTGAACATACATATAATAATGAGAATAAATTAATTTTAACATAACACAGAAATGTCGGCTAATGGTCTCCTTTGAAAAATAAATATCTTATAAAGTCAGATCTTATTTATACAGTTTCCCTCTCTTTTGATTGGCTCTTTAAAAGGCACTTCAAGGTTATCTTGTGTACGTGGGTGTTGATAAGAAAAGAAAGCGTATTCTTATTGGTGGTCAGTCAGTGCTTCCTTCTTTAAACATTCATTTATCGATTCATTAAATCAGACCGAAAGTTATTGATTTTATACACTTTTAAATTGCATACAATAATAGGATGGTCAGATGCTGAGTTGAGAAAATTGATTGTTAACATTAGAGGCAAACGAAAAGCATACGAGAATGCTCATGAATGTAGGAATCAAAAAAAGGAAGAAAAAATATTTTGAATAGAGTGATAATTTTCACAGATTATATTCTCGTCTGCTGTTATGGTCATCGTCGGAACTGTCGTTATGATTATTAGTAGTATCATAGTGTATAATTGAAACACTTCCTTTACGCGTTGATGGAGGCACAGGAGCAGTAGTGTTGTAATTATATTGATTATTTGTGTAAGTCCGTTCAGTTTTATGCCCAGTATACACTGAATACATTCTTGGTGTACTTGGTTCAGACATTGATGAAATTGAGATGATTCTATTACGATTCACTGTCGGAGCATTACTACCAAGGTCAGGAGTAATTGAATGTTGTTTTGATACGTAGATAATTCGTGGAGATTGTGAGTTTACTGCATGTGAATTATTATTATTGTTTTTAGTGGTAGTACTAGTAGTAGTATTAGTAGTGTCGTTATTACTAGTGTCATTCACGCTTGTAATGTTATATTTTTGTGTAGGTGAGTTTGGTGCTTTCATAGCTTGACTTTGACTCCTATCAATTATTCGATCAGTAGAAATTTCAGGGTTACGGGGAGTATTTGATGAAAATTCCGGTAGCCTGACCCTGGTCACCTGTCCATTTCTATAAATAGGCGGCATGTCATAATAGGCTCGATTGTCTGATGGTAGTTGTCTTGACATACTGACTAGTGTTTCTGTACTACCAGTCGGTGTTTTATCATGTTGACGAGTTTGACTTGAATTCTTGGCAGTAACTCCTCTGAACTGATTTAATTGATAGTCATTTCCGACATGATGGGTATCAGGATTCTGACGATCGATCTGTAATAAAGTTTTATATGTTTAAAATTACTGCCAAACAATATATATATATATATAATGCGTAGAATACACCCGTCACATCAACCAGTAGTATCTGCTAGCCAACAGCCCAACAGAAGTGATCTAAACTCTAGGCAGTCGCTTCGTCCGTCTGGGTTCAAGATCATCATCGGCGATGTATCTAACTCTTGACTCAGTTCAGATAGCCGCAGCATTTCAGACTATCCAACCTCTGACTAGCCTACTTAGGCACTAGCTGGTTATTCCACAAATCGAATTCCAGTGTTTAGACCATTTCTGCCCGAATAGCTAGCTAGCCAGCTGACAAGTACTAACAGGGTGCTGTTCTCTCTCCGTTTCTCTTTTCCTTCTTCTTACATGACTTACCTCTTTCAGACGAAATCAACTTCGTCAAATATGCAGATGACCTGACCGTTTCAGATTAAATAGCTTCCTGTCGGACATCAGTCAGTGGTCTAAACTAAATGGCCTCATGCTGAATCCCTCAAAATATCGGACTACTGACTTCTCCTTTAGGCGTAAACGAGATCTACAAACACTAGTAAGTACTCATGAAGCCTGTTGCATTGAGGGGACTAAAATTAAAACTAAGCCTAATACAAAATACCTCGGTCTAGTTCTGTCTTCCAACCTCACTTGGTCATCTCATATCCTAACGATTTCTAAGAAAGTGTTCTGTCTTACCTACTACATTAAGAAACTTAGACAATCTGGAATCACCCAACCTCTACTTTCACAATTTGTCAACTTTTATATCTTACCTATTCTACTTCACTGCTCCCCGTTAGTCTTTCCTGGGCTACTGAAAAAGGACCATACCATCCTGAGAAGGATGTTGAAGGTAGTTAGTAGGGCTAGTGGTGACAAACTCAGTCAGCTCGTCACTACATTAGTTGAAAGGCATCTGAATACAACGCGAAAAATGGTCTAAAACCATACTCTCCGACCCACAACACCCCCTCTATTCCCAACTCTCGCCTTGTATCTCATCAGGTAGAACCAGAAATCAGTATAAAATAATCTATGCTGGTACAACCAAGTACAGGAACTCAACGATACCATACTTGGCCCGTGTTCTAAGTGACAGAGACAATGTTAAGCGCGAAACCTATAACTTGCTTTGTTGTTAATAACATAATTTTAGGTTCTTTTATTTCTCTCTCTTATTTGTATTCAATAGTGAACTCCTTCTTAAACATACTTAGCTACCTAAATTATTAACATTGGCTTACTTCTTTGCACTTTACTGTATTGCTTCTTTCGTGTATCTACTGGTTCCGACTATATTAGCACTATGAGTATTACAAAGTTGTCCTGTCACTAACCATCATGTGATTATTAGTTTTGTGGTTGTATTTTCTTATTTTTTTCGGCAATATTAACTGACAATCATTGGTTGTGAACGCCATTGTCACCACCTTAAAATTTTGTATTATGCAGGATTACTCACACTACCACTACAAACACCGCATTAGACCTGACAATAAAAAAAAATCCTGAAATGTTATTTTATGATTGTTTAGTGTTGTTTCAACCAAATTAACTGATAATCTTGGCGATAAACATTCTTAAATATCACTTCATAACTTCTTGTATGACTACAGCCTTACTGTCACCATGCATAATCATATCATAGCTTCCACTACCCAATACTGAGATACTATTTTATGTTGTTTATTTTCCTTTCTACTTCTTGGTATTTTTTCGCATTTTTTAAATTATTTTTGTGTTTTTTTGAGTTTCTTTTGGCTGTTGTTGTCTTTATATTTATTTATTTTTGAAATACTCCTTTTAAATGTTTGATAAAATTAGATGGAAATATTGTAGATATGTGCTGAAAATTCCACACTGTACCACTAGTACTGTTTCTGGAATAAAGCAAATTATTATTATTAAACTGGTTGATCTGAGTAGTAGACAACTAACTACTCACCTAAATCAATCGATAACTTTATGCATTTGTTCTTGCCTTCTTGGTTACCATTTATAATATCAAGTTGATCACATATATATATTGCTATCTGAATAATTTCGTTCCCAAATGGAACTCATCCCCCACCCTTAAATTGCGTAAACTCTATAAATATTATGCCGCCAAGAACATGAAGGTCATCAACATTAGACTATGCTGCCACTAAACTACTGATCAGCGAAGTTTGCTCACAAAATCCAGCAAAAAATTGCACAATACCTTATATGGGTTTTATAAGCACAGATATCTCTTTCACACACACAAATAGCTAATAAAACGACTCATTTGTGACACTTCCCTATCACAATGACACAACTGGTTATGATGTCTGGAACATATATGATCCCGTAGGTTATACTATCCTGGAAACGTCGGTTGTATAACGTTGAAACAAATTTGGGCTGTTATCAAGTGTTAGTTTGCAAAGATTTCATTGGTTACAGGATCGCCCCCGAGCTGAAATCAGTTAGAGAGCTATCAGAAATCACCAGGAAGTACTAGACAGATGTTTCGTCGTATTTTGGGACTCTTCGGCTGTAATGCGCATCCACCAAGGTTCGAACCAAGGACCTATTGGCTACAAAGCCAGCTTGTAGACCACTAAACCACTGGGATCCGATCTAATAGTCCATGAATTTCAACTTCTGAACTGTCACTGAATGGGGGAGGGTGTAGTAGCATAAAGGTGTTTTGCCTTTGGATCACCAGAACAGATCAGCTGTGCTGTCCTTCAGCTCTGGACAAAAGGCGTGAACTGCACTGGAAAGTCAACCCTAAGCATAATGTTTCCTTAATCTAACCCTGATATATCTCTAATCAATCCTAATCAGGTTTATTATTATTTATTATTGTTTCCTTTAATTCCTAGAGGAAGAACATAGGGCTTCAGCCACACGTCTCCATTACGTTCGGTTCTCTGCCAGAGTCTTCACCTGGCTCCAAGTCTGCCAACACGCTTTCATCTCCTCTTCACATGACCTCCTCCATGTCACCCTCACCCTTACACTGACGACCAACTCGCCACCGCTTCCCTTTCGGCCGGGTTCCACTCGAGCAATGGCTTGTCTAGTGATGCCACTTGGTGGTTTGTTTCCACAGAGTATGGCCAGCCAATCTATCTCCATTTCTTCCTGCCTATTTGTTTCACAATCGGTTGGTTCCTGCTGTGTTAGTTCGCTCACTGCCAGAAATCCCTCTCTGTTGCTGATCTTTTATGGCCGGCCATCTGATCTTGAGTAGTATTGAGCGAAGACAGGTAGCTGTTAATGAAGGTCTGTAGTTTGTTTGAGATGCTCTTTATGACGCGCAGTGCAAGTCTCTGATCTGTGTAGTGAGTAGCACTGACTGACTTCCCATTGGAGTTGAAAATCCGGATCTTATTTTTGATGTTGAGTGCTGTTGACCTCCACACAGACTTGAGAGTATTGAAAGCTTGTCTTGCTTTTCCGATTCTTGCTTTGATTAGGTTTACCTGATCCTAACTATTCCCTAGCTCAAAACTAACCCTAATCTTCCCCCAGTCTACCCAACCTTCTTTCTCCTGAGTAAACATCTTGTTTAGTATCATTACACCTGATTCAACGCTTCTTCTAATGAATACAGTTCAATTTTGCTGATTTCACCACCCTATTTTGATTGCGTGTTCTACGATTAGGGGCACGTGCTTGTACCTGTTGGGTGTTTTCATAACTGAACTTTGTCTTAAAAGGCATTAGAAAAGATGAATGGCATAATAAACAGTGCACGTTCCAACTTATTTCTCAGTTATAAGGATTTCTGTACAGACTAAACGCCACCTTAGTAAAAAAAATGTCCGTGTATAAGCTACCATAAGCTTCACAGCCACACACACATACACACAAATAAGCCAATGAAGTTAAAGCATAGTGTTCCTAGAGAAGAACTGCACGAATGCCCCTGAAGCGGCCAATCACAATCTCCTAGTTAGATTATGAGTTGACTGACATTGGTCAGATAACCACTGAAAATCATCAGGGAGTGCTGGATAGATGTTTTTTGTCGTAGTTTGGATCTCTTCATCAGCATGCACCCCTATCACTCTACTGAGAATTGAATCCAAGACCTTCAGGTCATGAGGCCTTACTCAATGACCAGTCAACCACTTGGACTGGAATCTAACGGCTCATGAATTCTGGCTTATATCATTCCGTGATGTATAGCACAACCATGAGACAATGTAACAGGCATATTCAAATGAACTGTCGTCAAGATTTGAATCATGAATCATGATTGGACAAAGTTTTTAAAAAGATGTGCCTTTTATATATAAAACCTCTGTTATGTTAATTTTGATTAATTTCCCTGAAGAAGTTCGGACCAGATTGCCGAACGAAACGTTGGAATTACTTATTTCAATATCGCTGAGATTTTACAAATATAATTTTTTACAAGTAACAGGCATATATATATGTCCTCACACCTGACCTGGTCGACCCCAATGGTCAAAAATTCTCATTGGGAGGACTCTAGGCTACTTCATCCTGCAGTCATTCACTAGTTGTGAACATCAGTTTAATTTTCAAGTGTGTGTAAGTTTGTAGGGATTAGGTGTGTATCAAATATGGTCACAGAGCGACGTCATTTAAAGAACCACTGCCTAGAGTTCTAGTGACAAGTCATAACCACTGAGGTCTACCAAGTCAGGTGTTAGGATAAATACTCAGCGATGAAATCGGTTGGCAATCGTACTGAATTTGTGAACTGACAGAATTTGGAATTACTAGGCCATTAGATTCCGGCCAAAGTGGCTGAATGGTAAACAATCTTGACCTCGTAGTCTGGAGGTCTCTGGTAGGGTTGTGAATGCGTAATCCTGGAGAGTTCCAAGCTAGCTAGATATAAATTATACAGTACTCCCAAATGGTTCTAACTGATATCGATGTGTAATTCATCTTGAAATGAATCAAATTTCAGCAAACTAAGTCTTAAAACTTGACCTGTTGCTTGCTATTGACTGCCTGAGGGATGAAGTTGACAGGAGTATTCATGATGAATGGATTTCAGATGGGAGTGATGAAAAATACTCATCGATGACATTGGCTGGTAGTCGCGCTAATATCACAAGTTGATAGAAGAGAAGTTAGAATTCATGGGCCGTTAATCCATATTCATGTGGCTGAATGGTTTATGAGCTTAACTTGTAAACTGAAGTACCTGTCAGGTTTGAATCCCGGTGGATGGTTTATTGCGGAAGTCCCAAACTTCCACAACACAGTTTTCCAGTACACCCTAGTGACTTTCAGAGGTTCGTTCACAGATATCAATCTGTGATCATACTTGCAACAAATCAAATCTCTACAAGCTGACTCTTGAAAATAACTCTTATCCACTAATAAAATCTGATAACAAAATGTGATAAAAATACTTAGCCTACTTAAAAACATCTATAAGTAGTATAAAAATATAACACAAAATATTTACTTTGATAGGTGTTGTTATTCGATTAGATATCAGTGTTGCTTTCCACTATTCCCAAATCGATTTATGCCTTTTCCTTGAGTCGAGTAATATTCATTATTCTCTATAATATCAAACATATCATGAACACCATGAATAGATTCATCATTTGATTCTAAACGTTGTAATTCTTCATAGATACCATTATTATTATTATTTTCTTGATCCAGCTCATTAATATTATTCTCGTAAAAGTACATATCTTTATTAATTCCATCCGATTCTTGATTTACTAAAAATAAAAATTTTCCTGGTTTTCTAGTATCTTTTCTCTTTTTATGAAATGCATTCAAATTGGGTAGATGTTTACGCGCAGATTTCAATTTCTGTAATTTTGATGTCGGTTGTTCTGGTTGACTTAGTGTTGTTGAATATGGCAATGGTGTACAACTGACTAATTCAATTCCAGGATCATCAAATGTCTTTTTACGTATCAAAGGAGATGGTTCATAATTCGCTGGATAAGAAGCCAGCGATGATGCCGAAGATGGACTGATTGTACGTGAAAATGTCGGTGGTGATCTATGACCAGAATAAGTGGCATAATTACGATTAGCACTCTCTGAGGGGATATTCATCAGTGTTCTTGATGTACGACGATTCCTATCGGGTGCAGCAACTTGATCAAGAAATAGCACAGTTCTACGATTTAAAGTCTGATCATTATTTTCACTATCAGAATGATTTCCATTCATAGAAGGAGGATAGGCGGATAAACGATTTGTAGAGTTTAGTCGACGTCGAACTTCAGGCGAGGTGGATCGTAGATTGACGAGTGAAACACTTGTTGATAGGTCAGTTTCACCTGCATCATTATCGTATTCTTCTTCTTCAAATGTAGATGGATTAGATGTGGCACGAGAAGTGGATCGAAGTATCGACTTCTTAGGCTTTTGAACTTCATAATTCTAGGATAAAGAAAATCAATAAAAGAAGAAAATTTCGCTAAAAACGACGCTCACCATACAATTATTTTCACAGTAATGACAGCTTTACTCTGAACAGTATTCATATACTGTACAGGATTTTCAAAGGAGTTTATTGCATCATATTTTCTCTTCATCTAGGACTTTCATAAAAAAGGTGCAGTTGCCTGAAGTTCTAGTGAGAAGTCGTGACTGGTGGGGTGAATGCAGTCAGTGAGGATGGAGTTCTCGTGGTTAGTGGTGAAGCTAAAATCACAAATTAGGCTGGCCACTGAGGAGTCAGGTCCCAGTAGCTGAATGCTCTACGAGCTTGCCTTGTAATCGGAAGGTCCTGGGTTCGGGGCCTAATGGTGGGTGCGTGCTTCCGTTGAGTCAAAAATTAGGATGAGACAGCCATCCAGTACTGTACTCCCCGCTTGTTTTCAGCGGTTCTCCTCTAACTGATATCAATCCATGTTCAAAATATGAAATCGATTTTATTAAGTTAGAAATCATAGGTGCTTTGCCCGAATATTGACTAGCCTGATCGAATAATCAACATGAAATTCCGGTGATTATAAAAATAATCAATACATTTCTTATAATTCAAGTTATCTCATGAGCTGACATCATTTAGAGAACCGCTGAAAACTAGGGAGTACTAATGCTGCAGGAGGGGATTCTCTGGAGTTCTAATGGGAAAACGTGGTCAGAAGGGTTGGGTGTGAGGACAATTACTCTTCAACAACATTAGTTCCCAGAATGTCACAAAGTAATTGTGTCTACAAGATAAAGTGTTCAGAATGTGATGCATGCTATATAGGGGAGAGCAGTAGGCAGATGAAGGTCAGAGTAAATGAACACAGACTATGCATGAAACGTCCACCACCTAGAAATGAAGTAGAATTAAAAAGTCTAGAAAAAAGATCGGCTATAGCAGTGCATGAGATAGACAGCGGACATAAGATTGATTTCGACAACGTCGAAATTCTTGGAAGAGGATTTCATTCACATTAAGAAAGACTGACTTCTGAAGCCTTACACATTTTAACCACATCAAATGCAGTAAATAGTAGAGAAGGGATAGACTTATCACCTATATGGCAAACTCTTATGAAGCAAGACAGATGAAAAAATTAATAAACACTCTATGAGCCTCCATGACCTTTCAGAAACATGTAGGATCTTGTTTATCACATATGAATTCACTTATTTTCCACATGACAAATAACATACACACACAAACACACTCATACAAAACTAATCTGTACAAATTAACTATAAAAGAGTGAACACAACAACAATTTGACATTAGTCATTACAAAAATATGTGATGACTGCTTACATATTTTCTATTGGTAAAAATGTCCATGGACAAATGACCTTCAAATAAACTGACTTCAATTTATGTAAAAAAATTTTTACTATATATTTTGATGATTAATAAAAATCCGAATATATCTGCTGAAGAAGCTGTGGCTTACACAGCGAAACGTTCGGAAAAATCTTGTTTGGATTTTCTTAATACGCTGGGATTAATTAAAATAATTTATGATGAACATTGGCTTACAGTTGCGTTATACATATATATATATATATACCACGAATTGGAAGGAGCTGGAATTCACAAGCTGGCCAATGGATTCCATCGTAGTGGTCTTAATAGTCAACAAGCTGGGCTTCAAAACCTGAAGGTTCCGGGTGCTCTATCTTCAACGGTGAGGTCAAACGTGCTTACGGCTATGGAGTCCAAAATTGGGACTAGTCACTCAGCTCACCTCTTAAACTGGGGGTTATGAACCCGGACAAGGACGAAACAACTGCCCAATACTTTCTGATTTCCAATGGTAATAGATTAACTGACAGTTTTAAGAAAAATCAATTATCGTCTAATCTGAAATGGTGTCTTTTATCGATTGATCAATCGATCGATAGATCGACTGATTGACAGATAGATAACCTGTTAACCTTTCATCCGTTGAAGCATCCGAAATTAGGCCCACTATTGACTTCTCTCTCTTCCATAGTGGCTGAACGATCACCAGACTAGCCTAACAACCTAGAGGTTTTGAGTTCGATCTCCAAAGAGTGGGATCAGGATCGCCTATTGGATAAATTGTCTCAAAATAGGGTGAAATGTATCCTATCCATCTGAGGACAGCAGATATTATAGTTTAGGATACATCTTTTAGTGAAAATCATATAACCTCTTAAATGCGAATATGTTTCATGATTATACTGATAACCTGGCATAAAACGGTTTCATTGGCAAGACTGAATAATTCCATATTAGTTTGTTTATCAGATGTATCACACAGTGAAACAGTATTATTACATACTGGATGACAAAGTTTCGAACACAATTCATCATTGTTCATAATCATATCATCAGTTATAATCACACGACTTCGAAACCTGAATTTTATAGTTTTCTTTGTTCTCTCCTATTTGTCGTAGGGTTAGTAGAATTTTCCAGAAATCTGGGACAGGTGTTGAATCATTCCTGTTACACGTATTCTCTAGATTTCCTATCTTATTCGGGTCAAATAATCTAAATTTTCCTAGGTTTTCATGCTCGGTTAGTCTGACTGCACCTGTTCTACTACTTTGACCTATGTATTTGACCTGACAATCATCTCAGACAGGGTATTAGATAAACTAAATTGTTTTGTTTAATTGGCTCCACAGGGTATTTTCACCGATAAAGCTTGTTTCTAATTGAGTTTGTGCGACGGGGGGGGTGAATGCTACTTTTATTCCTACCTTGTCAAGAATTCTGAGTAAGGTGGTTTCCGAGGTTCCTTCTTTGTATGGAAGTACTACTGATGATTTAGATTCCTTATTGTTGGTGTTGTCATTATCCTGCGCATTTTTGACATGCATTTCGTCATTAATATTACTATTACTATTATTATTATTATTATCAAAGCTTCTCTTATATGCCTCACTTCCTGTCTTAGATTTTCCTTGGTACTACTTAGTTTTTGTGCTCTATCACTTAAGCATTTCACCAATCCTGTTTTTACTGACATAGTGTGGGTGGGATGATCGGAAGTCCAAATATCGGTTTGAATGCGTGGGTTTCCTGTAAACACACACCAGTGTTTGACTTCCCATCTTCTTTCCTTTTTACGCTACAATCCAACATTGGAAGTTCCCCTTCCTGACTTTCCAATTCATAAGTGAATTGAATTACCTCCACCTTCGAGATAATGTGTTAACGTGTGTTTGATAACAGAAGCTTTGTTTATCGAATCAACTGAGGAAAATACGTGTAATAGGAATGATTCAACACCTGTTCACCCGGACATATGGAAAATTCTACTACCCCAACAACGACAAACAGGAGAGGACAAAGCAAACGCTTAAACTCAAGTTTCGAAGTCGTGTGATTATAACTAATGCTATGATTATGAACAATGATGAATTGTGTTCGAAACTTTATTATTATTGTATCCTTTAATTCCTAAAGGAACATAGGGCTTCAGCCATACCTCTCCATTGCGTTCGGTTCTCTGCTAGAGTCTTCACCTGGCTCCAAGTCTGCCCACACGCTTTCATCTCCTCTTTACATGACCTTCTCCAAGTCACCCTCCCACTGACGACCAACTCGCCACCGCTTCCCTTTCGGGTTCCAATCGAGCAATGGATTGTCTAGTGATGTCACTTGGTGGTTTGTTTCCTCAGAGTATGGTCAGCCAATCCATCCATCTCCATTTCTTCCTGCCTATTTGTTTCACAATCGGTTCCTGTTGGGTTGGTTCGCTCATTGCCAGAGATCCCTCTCTGTTGCTGATCTTTTCTGGCCATCTGATCTTGAGTATTGAGCGAAGACAATTGTTAATGAATGTCTGTAGTTTGTTTGAGATGCTCTTTATGACGCGCAGTGCAAGTCTCTGATCCGTATAGTAAGTGGCACTGACTGACTTCACATTGGAGTTGAAAATCCGGATCTTATTGTTCATGCTGAGAGTTGTTGACCTCCACACAGACTTGAGAGTAGTGAAAGCTTGTCTTGCTTTTCCGATTCTTGCTTTGATATCCTCGTCAGTTCCGCCGGCCTGTAGTTGAAACGATGCTTCCCAGGTAGGGTAGGTGAAGGAGGTTGTTTCTTTCAGGTTCCTCCCATTTATGCTGGCTGATTGTTGTCTGTTATTGTTGTTCCTGTCCAAGAATCTTCATCACCTCTGTTTTCTCTATGTCCACCTGAAGTCCTATCTTCTCTGGATGCTTCTTCTGCCAACTTGTTACTTTTCGCTTGCATATCTTCCAGTTTGTGGGAAATCAGACATATATCATCGGTGAAGTCCAGATCCTCCAAGTTCTTTTTTGTGTGAGTCCATTTTATGCCTGTTTCCTCATTGCCCGCTCTCTGTCGCATTATTCAGTCTACTGCAATCAGGAAAATCATTGGCGATAGTAGGCAGCCAGCTTGTCTTACTCCTGTCCTCACTTCGAAGGGTTCCGTAAGTTTCCCGTTGTGGATTACTTGGCATGCAGCATTGTCGTACAGCTGTTGGATGAGATTTATAATTGTCGGTGGCACGCCGTAGTAGTAGTAGTAGTAGTGTGATACATCTGATAAACAGACTAATATGGAGTTACTTACTACCACAGTGCTCAAGTTTTACACATATATTAAGACTGAATAATTCCTGCGATTCAAAAAACATATTCAGTGTCTGTTTCCTACTGCACATCTATTAAACAGCTCAGTTCATCGCATATAATTTTTCTAATAGTATTGCTTACTCTGACGAGTATTTAAAATGTTTAAAACCTGCTGATTCTCAAATTTCTACTAAACATAAGGAAAAAAATATTATTCTGGATGAAAGGCTGAGATGCCAATACATGAGATGATTGTTCCTGAGAAGTGAGGTCCTTGACTCTCAAAATGTACTCCTAAACCTTTTATAATTGTCATTCAGATCAGTTTGCGTTTCAAGGTCAGATGACACTGTGTCGAACAATCAATTGTCAATTAAACTTTTCATACAGCC